TAATAATACAGTATTCTTTCGGAAACCAAACATGCTACTAGGTACAGGTCTTTTCACATTTATAAATATTGGCGGAATTTCCCTCTTGTTTTTCCTTAGGGTACCAACAAGTGTAGTTTTCCTATCAAGTAATTGTTTGGCTAACGGCACTGACGTGAAATAATTGTCCATAGTTATATTTCTACCTGTGTTTAATATGGGATTTGCTATACGCATAACAACAGCAGATGCAGAGTTGTCTAGATAAAAAGGGCCAACTGGCTGTTTTCCTGCATATATCTCCATATTGCAGGTATAAAACATCCTTGAGTCAACTAAGGCATATATTTTAATGCCGTATTTGGCCGGCTTGTTGGCTATATATTGCCGAAATTTACATCGCCCTCTAAAGCTTTCCAACATTTCATCCACTGTACAATACTCTCCAACTTGGTAGTTTTCTTGACACTTGGACACAAACTGTTCAAATATGTTTCGAATGGGAGCCAAATTATCGTATTTTTTTCTTTCGTTTCGGTCATTGATATTGTCAAATCTTAGTGCTCTTCCTAAAATATGAAATCGTTCTCGTGACATCGTTAGTCTAAAGCAAGCAGGAGCAAATATTAAATCAGCCCAAAGTTCTTTAGTATTTAGATATTGAGCCTTTCGTACCCCAGCCATGTATAGGAGGCCGATAAAAGCATATATTTCTGTAGCGTCTGTGTCACGGCAATCTCTTTCTCTCGTATAGTTACCTCGTATTTTTGCTAGATAGATATTTGTGCATTGTACGATTTCTTCAACCATTTCTTTTGTAATATATAATTCCCAGCATGCTTCGACAGTATTTGCATCTTTTGCAATATTTTTTACTCCGGGAAGATGACTAACAATATTTTTTGTAGGCACTCTTACGTTAGGTCGTGGAGGATAAGCCATCCAGTGAGTTTTTTTGTCTTTACCAGTGAAATGATGTTTTGATGTATATGCGGGATTATCGTCAACTTCATAAACAAAATTTTCAACTTCTACATCAGATTGTTCGGAATCGGTATTATGCATACTATGTTCACTGGAAGCGTCACTTTCAACATCCACTCGTCCGCCATCTTCCATAATTTCTTGATTTTGACATTCCTCTTGCCCACTCCATGGTATGTTAGCTGACATACCTTCTCTTTGTGCCTCTTCATATCGAATTCGCCCTAATTCTGCAAGCGTCAGTCCTCTACTCATTGTTTACTATCTAAAATAACAATACCACAATAATAGAACACCTTGACCTTATTTAAAAAGCAAATAAAGTAGTTATGTATAAAAAAATCTTAAATTTACTTACCAAAACTTTATTCAACCTTAAGAAAATATACTACGTTAGAACTTGCGCGATGAGAGAAATTCTCACAGAGATCTGCACACGATCGACAAGTGCCCGATATCTATTACCAACATGCACTAAATATTGCATGCGCTCAAGCGTAACAACGAAGACCCTTAGAAACTCAGCTAGAAGTGGGGGTAGCAGTATGCGTGATTTACCGTTAATAAAATTTGCATTTTACTGGTAGGTGTGAGAGAAATACTCATAGCGCGAGTGATGCAGGGTTAACTATGACGCATTCATCGAAATGACGATTTTATCTATTTTACGATATTTATCTATTTTATGATAAGCTCTTTAAATTTTTAATAGTTATTTATATAGTGAGTTTGCAAGATTTTTTTTAATTTTGGAAACAATCAATAAAAAATGTGCCCAACAATTTTATTACTTTCTTGCCTAGTTTCTTGAAAACTCATCACCAACCAACGCAATGATTGAACCATTTTAAGCTGATAATAATTGATATTATTGCAAGTTAGTATTTTCTTTCTCAATGACCATGAAGATAAAGAAGTGTCTTCAGTTACATAATCTATCTTACTAATAAAACACTTGTATTCTAAGGATATTCCGTATTTATACCTAGAATAGTTATCCTAAGTATAAGGTAAATATCATACTAAAATAACCTGTTACAAATAAACTCGTTATATGTTAGTTATAAGTACTCCCAATTTATTCCGAAATAATAGTTTGCCATTGTCACTGTCGTAGAACAACGACATATTGAGACATGTCAATTTTGATTTTTCATACATCATCTTTAGAAAATCGATAATTTATTCTAAATTCTCTATCAGTGTATTTTGAAAAGGGATTTATTCTTTTTTCACAGTTTTCCTTCTTCGTGTATTTTCCATCATGTTAATTCAATTATCAACTTCCTCGACAGCCCAACACCTCTTAAACACGTTTTTTTTATTATTTTTATTATATAGCTACTCACAAAACAATACAAAAATAATATATTCTTGTCATTGATGACTTTGACATTCATAAAATAGGTTATACTAGACTTTAACAAGGGTGTGGGTCGGTATAATCCTGGAATAAGTTCTTATATCAAATATAACCTATATCTAAATTATTCCATGTTTATTGGTAGTGATTTTGCTTATACCTGATGTATTCTGAGTATAAGTTTTATTTAGGTTATGTTAATAAGGTTTATTAGTTATGCTGAATATGTTGTTTTTATCATCTTCTATTCTTCGCTGTTTATTATTATTTAAATGTTTATTCTGCTGTTAAGGCGGCTACAGACACACATGCAAACTTGTCCAGCATGCTTGTTCAATCTTTTTGTAAAAGCACACATGAGAGTCTGTAGGAAAATGTCGTGCAAACTTTGTGACTGTACAAGCAGCTTGAGGATTAAAAAGGATCTTAATTATGCATGCTTGAATTAATAGTGCTTGCGCAAACAAAACTGTACGTATGTATCCAAGATTTTCAAGCTTGAACAAGTTGGTGTCCGTTGTGTTGCTTTGTGAGATAGCATTTGAGTAACTTTCGTCATGACTAACGATCTTAAGGATAAACACCAATGTAAAGGATAAACGCTTAAAGGCAGATAGATTAATGAAGAATAAATTATGGATGACAGATGAGATTCTGAAACTAATGGACGAGAGAAGAGAAGCCAAAAATGACCCAAACAGAGTAAAATAAGAACGTTGAAAGAATATCTAGAAAAACAATTTGAAGATCAAAGAGATAACACCTTTGAACTAGAAGAAGAGGTAAATAATGAACCAAGAAAATTACAGCAGGAAGTTTATTCCGCAATAACAGAGTCTAAAGGATGGCAAAGCGGCAGGTCCTCATAATATACAAGTAGAACTAACTAATGGACAAGGAATCAATAGCAATAATCACCAAGATATTCAACAACATATACAACTCTGTAGAAGTACCAACAGAATGGCTGAAATATGAGTTTATTGCACTTAAAAAAAACCAGTAGTCAAAAAATGCGAAGATTACCGTTCTGTAAGCCTCATGAGTCATCTCGTAAAATTGTTCCTAAAGATAATTCATAAGAAAATCTAGAAGCTGTGTGAAAGTCAAATTTCTCCCAACCAGTTAGGGTTCACAAATGCTGTTGGTACTTATTCCAGAGATGTAGAGACGTCAACTGCGACGTCTACGCATGTCTGGTTGATTACGAGAAAGCGTTTGATCGAGTACAGCACGCCAAAGTGATGTAAATTCTAAAAGAAGCAGGAATTAACAACCAAGATCTGAAAATAATTAGACATCTTTACTGGAATCAGACAGCAAATCTCAGAATTAAAGGTGAACACACTGTTTATGTGAAAGTCATGCTAGAGTGAGGCAATTCTGTATTTTGTTACCTATAATCTTCGTAATAAGGTCCTGAAATGTTACGTGTGGTCCATCCTATTGTATGGTTGTGAAACATGGACGTTAAAAACCACAATGCTAAACAAGTTAGAAGCATTCGAATTGTGGTGCTATAGACGAATCCTAAAGATATCGTGGGTTTCGCAAACTTCCAATGAAGATGTTCTTCAAATGATTAATTCAGAACGTCTGCTCATAAACACCATAAAGAGGAGAAAAACAGAATACTTCGGCCATATAATTAGAGGACCTAAATACCATCTACTTCGCCTTATAATACAAGGAAAAGTGGAAGGAAAGAGATGGATTGGTCGAAAGAAACTTTCATGGCTGCGTAATATTAGACAATGGTGTGGTTCCACAGTAGAAGAATTATTTCGCGCAGCAGCCGACAGAGAAAGGTTTCAGAAAATTGTAAACATGATGACGGCCAACGTCTGAATACGAACACGGCACCCAAAGAAGAAGAATCTTCAATTTGTACTGTATATATATTTATCGAAGCTTAGCACGAAACTGAAAAAGGTATTCTACTAAATGGTTACCGGCTAAACAACATCAGATTATGGAGACGACACCATAGTATTTGCAGACAACTTAGAAGACCTACAAGTTCTTATAAACAAAATCACGTATTACAGTCAACAATATGGACTCAATATAAACGTCAAGAAGACAAAGATTATGATACTAAGCAAGAAAGGATAATAGAAGGTCAACTCTACGTCAACCAATCCCATGTACCTAGAAAGAGTGACGCACTATAATTATCTCGGCACCATAATAAATGAAGAATGGACGAACAAGCAGGAGATTAGAACACGCATCGGAAAAGCTAGATCCACCTTCAATCGGATAAGTCACAATCACAACCTCTCTCTTGATACAAAAGTGGGAATGCTGAGACATTACGTATTTTCTGTTCTTTTTTATGGTGTTGAATCGTGGACCTTGAACGAAGGTATGTGCAGAAAATTGGAAGCATTTGAGATGTGGCTATATCGAAGAACACTTAAAATCTCGTTTTCTCGAAACCCTCAAAAATCTAAGATAAAAAATTATAAGAGGAATACAAATATAAAAAAATATATAGGGTGTATCATTTAAAAAATTTTATGTTTGCTATACCACGTAATTATTAATCACCTTGTAGAATTTCACATATTTTTCAAGTATACAGAATGTCTCCTTAGAACTGCATTTAAAACAAGCTGTAAAATATTATTGTTTGGCCTAATATATGATTTTAATCTTGTACATTTTTCAGAATTTCTCGCACAAGCCATGTTTCTCAGTGTAGATCCATTCATGCGAGGTTTATCAGAGAAATTTACAATTGGAGAACCTATTTGGGGAACTCAAGTAGCCAAGTAAGAATCATAAATAAATATGTAATAACAACTATAAATTCTCGCTTAAATTGTACTATAATCCAGTCCACTTCATTCATTTGTGGTACTTAAACCTGTGGTATATTTTAGGATTGTTGAAAGTAAAAATGAAGAATTTCCAGTCGGTAAATTAGTGGTTTTAAGAGCAGGCTGGAGGACATACAGCATCTCCAATGGTAAAAAAGAACCACCAACTCTACCAGAACCGTATCTACTTCCAGACATCGGAGATCTCTGTCCATCCGTAGCTCTAGGAGTACTCGGTATGCCAGGGTGAGTAATCTGTAAAATTTTTGCAACTTAACAGTTTTGCCTACAACAATTATCGTTTTATTTCAGAAACACAGCGTATTTCTTGTTCTTGGAGCTCTGTCAACCCAAAGAAGGCGACACAGTTGTGGTGACAGCAGCAGCAGGAGCAATTGGAAGTATTGTAGGACAGATCGGGAAAATTTATGGATGCAATGTGATAGGTATAGCAGGGTCTAATGAAAAAGGAGAGTGGTTGGTTAAGGAATTGGGATTCGACCATTTTATTAACTATAAGGTGGATGATATCGATGCCAAACTGAAGAAACTTGCTCCGCAAGGTGTAGATTGCTTCTTCGATAGTGTAAGTAAAACCATTTATACTCAGTTTATACTTTATTACTACAAATTTTGTAGTATAATAATAATATAGTATGGTATTTTTGCCAGGGAAATCTGTTCGGATTGTTCCTGCTCCAATTGCATCTTTTTAACCTGATTTGAGGTAACTATTGTCGATTCACACTAGTCCAGAAGGACCGACAGCTTTACGTGCCTTCTAAAGCACGGTGGACATTTCGTATCATTTTTGGAAATAAAAATATCGTTATTGGTGCCAATAATTGAACTAGTTCTTCGAAATATTGTATCGTGGCCTTGATAACGGTTTTAAAGTTCAAACAATGTTTATCACTGAGTAATAATATTGTAGTACATGTTGTTTCATGATCGCGCAAAGGATGGAGTGACAAACTTCCATAGAAATATTAATCTGCCAATGAACAAGCAGAATTGCTTACAAAGAGGAAGAAGTGTTGTTTCAAATATACAAAAATGTTGTACCTATCTTTTAGAATTTGACCTATTGTAAATCATGAGTATAGAACGCCACTGCCTCGTTAGGTTAGGGATTACTATTTCGAGAAATTCTAGTCTCTTTTGAAAATGTCTATTCCTGTATAATCCACACAGGTATAAAATATTATCAATAAAAAGCACTTAAGTTTCTTAGAAAATATTAAAATTTTTATTCCGCATCAAATTTCTGATTGTCAATTATTTTACTTAATATCTAGTTTGTCTATTTATACCTTAATGCACGTAAGGTTCACAAATGTAGTACCCGCATTATTATAACGGCCTTTTAAAAATGATTGCAAAGAAATAAAAATAATCTCTTCTTATAAATCTTCTATTGTTGAAAATTTGTTTTTGAAGATTTGTACGGACTTGAATCCTAATTAAAAATTCTCAACTTTTTATGGTTCTCAATTCTAAGAATTTAAACTTGGTAACAAGATTGTTCTACCGTTCTTATCTACTTTGTAAGAAAATAAAAAGGCAAATAATTACAGAATCTCATCGTCTACGCATATGGTGATAAAGCAGAACTGGATAGAAAATAAATCAATTATTTATATAAGTATACTTCATCAAATTCAATCGATTATTACCCAGACACAGAAGCGAATGTATGTAAAGATTGGTTTAAAAGTGAATTATTACCAAATATACCACCAAACAGTGTAATTGTTTTGGCCAATATGTCTTATCATAGAAGATAGCGTCCGATAAGGATGATCGCGACAGCGAGAAAGAAAAAACAAGTTTACTTGTTGCAGAAATAAGAAAATAACCAAAATAATATGTGTAAAGTGTGGAAAACGCATTCCAAAAATCGTGTACGGCAAGAAATTGGGCAGGAAAGCTTCAAATTTTATATGAAATGCGTGTGATTTGTTGTGATTGGGAAGCAAAATAAAATCTCAGAGGAAAATAATAAGCTGCTATGGAAAAAACTTAAAAGTCTAGAGAAAAAGTTATCAAAAAATTCCTTGGAGGTAAAAATGTCGCAAAAACTAAGATTAAAAACAACAATCCATCCAGTGTCAAAAAAAAAATGATGTGCCAGCGACAGCGATAAAAAACACAAGGTCAGATGACCAGACACAGAACAGCGAATTTGTTCTGCTGATTTGTCCAAGCTTTCATCTAAACCGAGAATATTAAAGTACTTTGATTGCAACGTGTGACGCCTGTTAAAGATATCAACTGTCAGCTGATTGCAGATGAAAACGATAAATGGAAAAAAGAGGTTTTAACAAAACAACTATTAAACTAATACATATTAAACGACCAGATCCACTCCAAGGAATAAATGAATATGCTGGAACTATCCTGCATGTGACCACAAAACTTATGGCGATCTTTCTGTCAGGTTTTGATCCCAAAACCAAAGCTCACGAAATACTTAACTACATTTAATGCAGCAAGAATTATGGCCGAACGGTATAATTTTTAACCATTTTCAGAATATACATTGGCACTCAGTGTCAACAGACAGTCTACGATGCACAGCAGAAGAAATTATCAGTAATCCACTTAAAGACGCAATCAATCAAAACAAATATTGATGTTTTTAATTTTATCCTAGATCATGGTAAATGCTTTACTCTTTGTTTAACAGAGCACTGGAAAATAGACGAACAAATGAGGGACTATAATGTGAGGAATTTTAAACGAATCTCTTTATATTGTATGTAGAAGCATTTCACCAGAGCATGGTAGCAGTGGAGTATACATCGAAGACACGTTTATTGCAAAAGTTCGGGAAGATATCTCATCTCTAGTTTATCAGAAACATCAGTGTTTAAGTGTTCCTCTTTAGAGGTGCGAATTGATAAGAAGAAGATTATAATCCTATCCATCTAACGAATAAAAAACCCATAAGTTTTAATAAACAAACTAGACCAAATACTTTATCATTTAGTTGACAAGGACTCCATCATTTTTCTGACTGGTGATTTTAACTTAGATATGCCACTTGAGGGTGCGAGGTGGCCAGTAGTATGATTCAAATGTAAGAATACGATGAGACTTAGATAATGTTGGTCTTGGTCTTGCGCCAATACACCTGGTCTTGATCTTGATATGGGTATTACGCTCCCGGTCTTGGTCTTGTTCTTGGTCAAATCTTGCACAGTCAGTCTTGGTCTTGATGTCGCTAAAATGAGGCGATCTTGGTCTTGCGAAAATGCAAGAACGAAACCAAGACTGCAAGACCAAGACCGATTTTGGGCAACACTATAGGCTGACACATTAAAACGTTTTTGAAGTCTTTTATTATTAAACCCTTCCATCAAAGACTATACACGCATACAAGGTAACAAAAACTCCTGCATAGATAATATTTTTTGAATCTTGACATTGATTCTGTTGTATTCAATCCTCATACATCTGATCATATTGCTCCAAAGGTAAAATTTAAATTAAATAAATTTGATTTGAAATAAAAAGAAAACCACAGTAGTAGACCATGTGGCAAAACAAATAATTCGAATAAAAGTGGATTCATTTTATTTTTAAAATAAAATACCTACGTTGGACCAACTTATAGAAGACCAAATTATTACAAAATAGCAATGATTCAAAACCATAATCTATGACTCTATTCAAAATTTCTATAAAGTATCAAACTAAATCTAACAGGCGTAATTGATAAATTAAGATATTTCTATGCAACTTCGTGCATATTGAGAACTACCAAGGTCACATTAATCGATTTATGTAATAGAAAATGTAGTCTAAAAATAAAATAACTAGTTGATGTCTACTGCACACTTATGCAAGTAAAATAAATTGGTTTTTTCCTGCAAGGAATGTTTGAACTATTAGTGAGAAAACGTTTATTAATAACGCTTTTTATGCATGCAACTATATATTTTTTAAGGCGGAGATTGTGCAGGCATAATCTTTATTTATAAATGTAAAGAATTCCATTATTAATACTGTTTCATTTTTTTTAATATTCATGTACTCTTACATGAATAACACTGACAGAACAATTTTAACAACATTAATTAAAAATTATAAAACAATAAAATACCGGAAGAATGGAAAACGAGCAAACTAATTCTACTACTCAAAAAAGGGGATAAAAAACAGCCAGAAAACTACAAAGGTATTAACTTGTTAAATAGTACGCTATAACTTACAACCAAAATTTTATAAGTGCTACTAAATCAGAGTATAAGTTTAGGAGATGTTAAGTTTAACAGGGTTTTTGTAGTGGAAGATCGTGTACAGATGCAATATTCGTTCTAATGCAAATTACTGAGAAATCACTAGAGTATAATCGACCAGAGTAAGACTCAAAGATATAATCATTTTTCTGTATAATAGAGAGTTCTCCTTAATATTACAAAAACTATCGAAAACATCTACCAAAACAACAAAATAGAAGTCAGAATAGATGGACAATTTACATAACGTATAGAAATAGGAACCAAGAGAAATTAGCACGAAAACTAGTAGGAAATACCTTTGAGCACAAGAATATAGACGAATTAGCTGAGAAAATAACTAAAGACATACAAAGAGTCACTAAGAAACTTTGTTGCAGAATAAGAAAACAAAAAGAAGCTCAACTAAAACCCGAGACTCTAGAACATATAAAGAAAAGAAGAAGAACGAACAAAGATAACCCGGACTATAAAACGCTCAACAGAAGCGTTAAGAAAAATATTCGACAACACCTTAGAGCTTATACAACAAACCAGATTCTTGAAACCATAGAGAACAATACGAAGATAAAAGTACTAAAAACATGTAAATCTACTGGCATGAATAAAATCATAAAGATAAAAGACGACCGTGGAATATTGTGTTCGCTAAGGAAGAGATAGAGAAATCCGAAAATTGTATGAGAAACTGTATACTTCTACTATTCTGAGACCCGGCATGCCAACAAAACATATCTTAAACGAAGCTCAGAGAATCTCCCTGAAGTAATAACATCACAAATTAGAGCAGCACTAAAACAAATGAAAAATGAGAAAACACCAAGAGAAGATAAAATTACTTCAGAGATGCTAAAAACGGGAGGTACTGCATTAGAAGAGGCAATGAAAGCATTACTGAATAATAGCCTATTGGAAGTACAAATACCAAAAGCATGGAAAAATGCGGAGATCATTCTACTCCATAAAAAAGGGGACGCCGCATATATAGAAAACTACCGACCAATAAGCTTATTGTCACACCTTTACAAACTACTAACCCGAATAATAACAAATAGACTGACAGCTTAGCTAGATGCATACCAACCAGTGGAGCAAGCAGGCTTTCGTAAGGGTTTTAGTACTATCGATTACTTGCAAACAATCCGGACAGATATTAAAAAAAACAATAGAGTACAACATACCACCTATATCTGGCATTTGTCGATTATCACAAAGCGTTCGACAGTATCGAGAAATGGGCTTTCTTAACAGCATTGGACGACGCCAGAGTAGATTCCAGATATGCTGTCCTCCTTAAGAATATATACGATGATGATACTTTTCACTTTAAAAATAGATGATGATCTGGAAACTATGAAAATAGATCTTGGCAAAGGTGTGAGACAGGGCGACACCATCTCACACAAGCTATTTACTTATTTACTTTGGCATTAGAAAATGTCTTCAAAAAACTAAATTGGGCCGAAAAGGGATTAAAAATAGATGGAGTATATCCTAACCATTTGCATTTCGTAAGACGACATAGTACTAAAGAGCACAGACATCCATGAACTAAAATCAATGCTACAAGATTTAAATCACAAATCGAATCAAATAGGATTAAAAATGAAACTAGACAAAACAAAGATATTAAGCAACAGCCTAGAAAACATCTCCAAAGATAACATCAATATAGAAAAAGTAGAACAATATACATATCTAGGACATGCAATTAAAAACGAAAAGGAAAATCAAACCCTAGAAATTAAAAGAAGGACACAATTGTCATGGGTTGCTTTTGGTAAGTTGAGACTCATTTTAAAAAAACACAAAAATCCCAACACATTTAAAACGAAAAACCTATGACACTTGTATACTACCAGTTGCAACTTATCAATAGGAAACTATGGCAATAACAAGAAAAATGGCAGAACAATTAAGAGTAACTTAACGGGCCATGGAGAGGGCCATGTTAAATATAAGCCTCAGAGACAAAATTCCTAACACCGAAATACGTCGAAGAACTAAAGTAACCAACATCATGGGAAAAACAGCGACATTGAGATGACAATGGGTAGCACATGTAGCAAGACATCAAGACACCAACAGATGGTCACATAAAGTGACATTCTGGAGACTTCGAGAAACAAAAAGAAGCGTGGGAAGACCCAAAAAGAGATGGATAGACGAAATAACAGCTGTAGCTGGAAAGCAGTGAATGAGAATTGCAAAAGATAGGGAAGCGTGGAAGCAATTGGCGGAAGCCTATGTCCATCAATGGATAAATGAAGGCTGAAGAAGAAGATAGAAATAGGAATCAGAATAACACAAGGAGATTCATTGAACCCCATGCTCTTCAACTTTATCATGGATGAAATCATCAACAGCGTTAATAAAGGAAGAGGATACAGAATGGGAAACAAAGCCAAAGATGAAGACAGTCTGCAAAGATTGGTACACATATTTAATTTCTCATAAAACTTTCGTTTTTATTTACACACAAATGATCAGCTAATTCTAACTTGTTGTATTATTTTATAAACCTTAAGGTTTTGTTTGCAGGTGGGAGGAAAGACAGCTGAAATTATATACAGTCATATGAATAACAACGGAAGAGTCGCACAGAATGGCAGCATCTCCAATTACAACAAGGAAAAACCTGATTATTGTAAGTACTAAATGTTCTATTTTAAAACAGAGGACTGTCATATTTTATGTGGTTACTTAAAATATTGAGTTTGGAATTAAAAATTGTATGGATTTGTGAGTTCTTTCAATTATTGTCCATACTTGTCGTTACACGGAATCATTCAGCAACAGATCAAATGTTCATACCTTGGGGCTTTGTTTATTATATTCTCTATACTATTTGTTCCTTCTTCTTCTTCATTATCTTTCTTAAATGTAGGATTTATATTATGTTTTTTTCTTCAATGCCTCCTAAATTGTTTAAATTATCGCACAATATTTTTCTAGGTCTGCCAATACTTCTTCGTCCATTTGGTGACTTATCTCGTGCTATTCGTACTATTCTATCCTCTGCCATTCTACTAATGTGTTCATTCCACTACTGTTTCCGTTTTGTCACATATCCATGTATGTCTTCCATATTACATGCTCTTCTTATGTTTTCGCTTTCCTCCCTATCCAACAGACTTTTCCCTGATATTCGTCGGAGTATTTTCATCTGTTGTTTCTAGTAGTCCTCTCGTTTTAAATGTGTCTTGTCTGCGCCGTGTATGTTAATATAGGTCTAATTGCTGCTTAATAGATTCTTGTTTTTGTGTCTTGTCTTAGATGTTTGTTCTTCCAGATTGTGCCATTAAGAGATCCTGCTGATTTACTTGCTTTTAAGCTTTGTTGTCTTACTTTGTTGTCAACATCTCGGTTACTAGTAATATCTATTCCCAGATATCTAAACCTTGGTTCCTGCTTTATTATTTTCCCACCAATTTCGATTTTACATCTTAGTGAGTATTTAGATATTGTCATAGATTTGTTTTTTCTGCTGATATTATCATATTGTATTTCTTGGCTGTTGTGTTGAAGATGTGTATTATTCTTCGGAGCTCATTTTCTGTCTCGGCGATTAATGCGGCGTCGTCTGCATAACATAATATTGGGATTTATTTGTTGTTCATTCTGTAACCATGACAGCAGTATTTACATACTGCTTGTAGTATTTCGTCTATTATTATATTAACCCTTATCCGGGCAAGATATTTTTCTGACGTAATCGGGCAACTCGGGTCCGTTGGACCCACTGTTCTTGAATATATTATTCATATTAATATTTGTATATTTCTAACATTCTTTTTTGATTTTTTTATTGAAGTTATATTTAAATTGGCTAGATTATTAAAAAAACAATAGATTAATCAACTATTTTTCTTTATTGCAGTATTCACAAACTTTTTTAATTATACAGTGATCGTTACACACATTTCTACTACATATTTCACAAATTTGTTTCTGTTTCCTGTCCTTTTTTGTTGGGCAAATATGACACCTTTTCTTTGTTGAAACTGGAGGTTTTTCTAGTCTTGGTTTTTTATTGTTTGGATAAACTTCCTCTAAGCATTTTTCAATGCACTGTTTTGTTTCTCGATGTAGTCCCCTTGATTTTCTTCTCAAAATTTGAGGCAACACTAGTTGTTCTGCTGTTGTGGTAAGAAACAACCTTCGCTTTTCATCTCTGTTTTCGTTCCATTTTGGATGTAAATTTGTCCAAGTAATAAATGAAGCTACTCCAGCCACATCTAAAATATTCATAAAAAATGCAAAAGGCCAGCGATTTGTCCGTCTTTTGCACATATACTTATGAACCATTTGGTCTAGCGTATCGACACCACATTTTGTACTATTATAATAAAGTATCATATCTGGTTTTTTGTTAACATCATCTTCACATTTTGCATTGTGATGCATAGTAGACAGGACTAGGACACTTCTTTGTTTTTTCGGAACGTAGGAAACAAGAGATGCTTTTGGAGTGAATCCGAAAATTGAAGATTTCTCTAAACGGTTCTTGTTCGGAAGAAATTCCTGAGGAACAAACCTCTTATTTTTCTTCACTGTGCCGACTAGAGTTAGTGAGTTTGCTAGTTAATTCATGTGCAAGAGCAAGATCAGTGAAATAGTTATCGCAAGTCACATTCCTGTTGGAATTATAATAAGGCTCAACGAGTTCCTGTACAACTTGAAATGCGAGACCTTTTGCTACTGTATTTCCCTTTTTTCCTGTATATGGTATTCCACCTAAAGGGTAATATGTTTCCGAGTCATAGGCCCACCATATTTTCATGCCATATTTATCTGGCTTTGACGGCATATATTGCTTGAAAGGGCATCTTCCTCGATACGGAACAAGTTGCTCATCTACCGTTATGTTTTTTCCTGGTAAATAATATTTCTTAAAGTTTTGGTTGACTTGATTCCAAACGTCGCGTATTGCTGCTAATTTATCGTCCCTTCTTCGTTCAGGCCTCGTATCTTTATCGTCAAATCGAACAAATCTTAGCAAATTTTTGAATCGTTTTATCTCCATCGTAGCCCTAAGTATAGTAGGTCCATAAAACTTACTACAAAGTACATCTACATTATTGTTGTTGGCACCCAGATGTCCTGCAGTTATTAATAGTCCAATAAAGGCATATATCTCTGTCGAATCGCAATATTTCCAGTTCTCTATCCCCAGGACTTTTTCGGCTTCTTTATTTGTACACTTCACTATTTCGTTCACAATTTTTTCGTCCACAAACAAAGAAAAGGAATCAACAAGTTCATCTATACTTTGACCAGGGGCTAATATTACTTTGTTGAGTTTGCTTTTTATTATGTTGCAGGTTCGCATACGTCCTGTCGGTTGTGGTTGACTCTTCCAGTTAGTTCCATCCTTAGTTTCAAAAACTACACAATCTGAAACGTGAGAACTCGTACCTACACATTCTTCTTCAAGATCATTCAATACTTGTAGGTCATTCTCTTCACTTGCTTCCGAAAGATGATCTTCAATTTCAGAATCACTTTCAGTGCCACCTACTTCGAGAGATTCTTCATCATTCGAGTCCCATATATTATTGGCAATCTCTTGCAGTTCTGCATCTGACAATGGTTTTCGGAACATTTTATTCACACTTTCTACTCTCACTGAAATTCAATATAAGCTTAGAAACTTAGTTGTCGACACTAACAACGATATAAAACGACTGACAGCAGATGCATTATTTATTTTAAAATGTGTATACATAATAATAATATCATTGCATTCCAAGAATAATTATCATTAAAATCCATTTAGAATAGGTATAATACCTATCGTAAATATATCTTTCAAAAATTGTATTATTGTGTTCCCGGAATCATTATAAGGTATTAAAACTCGTTTAGAAAAATCACAAAATAATTTTTTAAAATCATTATCTGAATTCATTTAGAATAGGTATAATATTTATCATAAACATCGCTTCCCAAAATTGTATTATTGTATTCCCGGAATCATTATAAGTGATTATAATCGCAAAATGATTTTCTAAAAACATTACCTGCCTGCCAGATTAAATTTTGTAACAAAGATATATATTTTCAGGTAGTGAACGAAAATCAGGGTCCGACGGACCCGTCTTGCCACTTTAAGTAACAAAATTCTTTTGACTCTTAAATTTCAAAAATGATAACGAATATTTTGAATAGCTTATGACTAAGTTAACGAAAACATACTTCTAAACAAATTCATTAATGCATAAAACTCAATAAATATTTTTTTATCAGTTTATGATAAAAGAAGTCGCGTCACGGGTCCTTTGGACCCACCTTGCCCGGATAAGGGTTAAAGAGGAGTGGGCTTAACGAGTCACCCTGTCTGATTCCGTTTTGTATTGGTATACACTGTTAGTTTTCCATTTATCTGTGCACTTTTTTCTAATCTCTATATGTATTATAGTTTATATTGTCACTATATAAAGATTTTTATCTTTTTTCAGCTCTTTCCTTGTCAATTCAAAAAGCGATCCAAGAGAAAAATTTGTCAGCCAAAACCTTGGGTGTCTATTGTCGCTCGAAGGACTGGATGACAGGAATAAACCAACTACATACGTGGGTGAACGAAGGCAAAATCAAGTATAAGGAATCGATAGTCGATGGGATCGAAAATATGTTTGATCTCTTTGTCGATATGTTGAAGGGTAAAACTACCGGAAAAGCGGTTATAAGAGCATAATAAAATAACTACACAAAGTGATCGCAACAAACCGACAAGTACCTTTTAAATAACTTATTTTTTAAGTTTTAGATATAAGCTTTTGGCAGTTTATTTATTGTATTTATGTTAAGTTTAAAGCAGAGCATTTTTATGCTCATTAACCAGTTTAAAAAGTGATATAATTGTTAATGATACAAACTTGATGTTAAAGTATCGCGCTGCTTTTGTATCTCATCAGTATTATTAAATTAATATTTCTAAATTGTCGTTTGACAAAACTTATTCAATTAATAAAATATGTTACTAATTATTTAGTTCGTTTTTTTTTCAACCTTGTTTGAACTGCAATAATTGCTCCTCATATACCTTTCAGCACTTATCTTGTACTTAGTTAAGTACAGATCGACAGAAATATCATGGACGTATAAACACAGATGGACTCAGTTATTTACATAAAATTGTGTAGTCAAAATTATTTGAATAGGTCACATTCTCAGCACCTTCCACTGTTGTCACGTTTTGTTTTAAAATTTCTTATTCGCGAGTCGCTAAAAATATTACTCCGTATTTTATACTCTACAGGTGCTATCAAACCAAAATAATGATTTATTGGCTATATTAATATATTTAATTGTAATTAAAATATCAAATGTGCACATAGTGTGCATTATCATTTAATAATAGTGTATAATAGATATTAATCAATTATTTTATATGTAGAAGCACTGAAAACTATTTATAAATGGCAACGGTTGTTTACATTTCTCTGTCTTATGGATCTACGTCAAACTTCAAATGCTGTTCCATGTTTGTTTGCTTTTTAGTAAAAGTTGTTTTTCGATATTTTGGCTGTATTTTGAGTGATATTTGTGAAAAGTGAAATAAAATAAACGAAATATTTACATCCGATCTCTCATTTCATTTGTAAGTACATAAAATTTACACTATTTAGGATGAGGAAATGAGGAAGCGGGTTTGTTTACATTTTAATAGGCGTACCATTGGGTTTAGTCATGTTCATTAATGTATTAAATAAGATATAAGTTCATGAAATTAGTAGACATTTTTAAATTGTAAGTAGACATCATCTGAATAAAAAAGATCTATTTAGTACCTTTTTAATTTAATATTTCGCATGGATGCAAATAAATTAGTGAAATGAATAAAACTCATTTATTTTTTTTATGTAGGTTTCCAAATAATATTGACGATCGAACTATTTTGGTAGCAAATTTAGGAGAAAACATAAAGATTTTTTATTGTAGCATTATTTTGATACCTATTAAAAAATTAACTTGAATTCAACTATATTTAATTGTATTAATTTTAGAGCAAATAAAATTGTATTTTAATTTTTCTATAAAGACGTGATTTGTTAATAGTTTAAACTCTCGTTTTTTTAAATTCTTTGAACGTATTTTTATACATTATTACTACTTCCAATTTTTAAAATCTGAATAATTACCCGCGAGTAATAATTCAAGCACGCTTCATGCTCATTGCGGAAGCATCACATTCTATCGAAGCTTCAAAACATTGTGTGTTAAAGGTATCTTATTGCTGTGTCCATCTATGTTTATACGTCCATGGAAATATCTGAAACCGCCAAGGTCAGACCGATGGAGAACTTTGGTTACGCGACGTTGTCAGATCAATCGAATTTCAAAGGTTTTTATGTTTTTTGTTTGATATCTGTTTTGTTGTAATATTGGTAACAATTCTATGATGCTTTTACCTTTTTATTATGAATCCAATGCAGACTTTTTCAACGTTCTTAAGATACTGCACATTATGCAATAATGTATATTATATGTAAGTAATGTACTCTAAATAAACAACTATTCGACGATTTTATCTGGCAAGTCGTAAAACCATGATTTCGTATACAATGATTTTAAATTGATGTTTACTCTTTGCAGCAATGCGTTCAACTGAAGTACCCTCTCCTTGATTTGCTACCTGAGTGACCTTCGCAGTTACAGGTATTTTAGTACACCTGTAGCTGTATAAGATATTTACGTGAAATCCACCATGTTTTCACAGATAGACTGAACTATTAGGGAAAAGAGTTTCAAGCAAAAAATTTTTTTTTTTCGAAAAATACTCGCTGCTCCTTTGTTAGAATATATGACTACTAAGCATTTCTCGCATTTGCAGAGATATATAAATGCCCCTCCCTCTCATTGCAGAGAATAAATATTAAATGAAACGTCTAATCTTCTCAATGTGCCTATCTTTTAGAAATGTTGGCTACTACATTGACCCATCTTATTCTATTCACAGCAGCTCCAAATAGATCTGCGGACTTTAAACCAGTCCACTTTCTAAGATTGGACAGTCAGAATATAAATCTACGTCCAGATCTTCTCTTATCCTCAATCTTGCCTTGTAGAATCAACTTTAGAAGTCGGTATTTATCATTACGCATGATGTGGCCGAAGTAAGCCAATTTTCTGTTTTTTATGGTGTTAATAATTTCTTTGTCTTTTCTTAACTTCTGGAGAATAGTTATGTTACTTGTGTGGTGTATATATGAGACCCTCAACATACGTTGGTAGCACCACATTTCAAATGCCTCTAATTGTTTAATGGCATCTTCTATCTGTCTAACTCCTTTTTCGACTGTGAAGATCTCGAACACTTCATTTTCTAATCGCACTGTTGATTTTGTTGGGGATATAAGTTTGAGATCAGTCTTATATCCTTACCATTGAGTCCTGATGCTTTTACGATATCGATTAGTTTCCCACGTGGGACTTTATCAAATGCCTTCTCGAAATCAATGAAACATGCATACACATCATAGTTGACATCCCTGAGTCTCTGGATTAGAACTTGCCAACAAAAAAGTGCGTCCCTCGTTCCGAGTTCTGCTCTGAATCCAAATTGAACTTCACTCAGGTGTTCTTCTAATTTCGTGTATATGCTCGAGTGAATGATAGTAAGAAGTACTTTAAGTGCGTGGCTCATCAATCCAATTAATCTATGTTCTTCGCATTTTATAGCGTTGTCTTTTTTAGGAAGTGGAATCAATATTGATAGTAGCTAGTCTTTTGGTAAGTAACCAGTCTGGTAGATGTTGTTGAATAGCTTCCTAAAAGCTGTGATTTGTGCCTCTGCTATTAGAGGCACTGTGTGCCAAAATTTTACCATGCACCTTATCAGTTCCTGGTGATTTCTCATCCTTAATCCGCTTAATGGCCATAGTTACTTCTTTGTTTGTTATTTCTAAGGATTGTTTATTTCAGTCGGACTTCGTGCTGCATCTTCGAACAATTTTTCCATATACCCTTTCCATCTTGTTAATTTATCTTCAATGGTAGTCAAGATGTAGCCTTCGATGTCTACAACTATGCTACTTTAATTTTTTTGTGCATATGGAAATCGTCATATTTGCGTTGTAGTGTTTCAATTTCCGTACATTTCTCCATCAGCCATGCTTCTTTTATCTCCTTTAGTATAGTCTTATGCAACTTTTTGTATTCGTTGTCATTTCTACCTTTTAATTTTCTTCCCTCGTCCATCATCTGCAATATTTTATCTGTCATCCATTCGTGCTTCTCTTCTCTATTTGATTTTAGATATTTGTGCAAAATTGTGGTAATAGATGTCTCCATTTCGTTTCACTGTTCTTATATTCCTTTAATAGTGTCTTAAACTATTTTTGCAAAATTCTTATTAATCTCTGTTTTTACTTTTTTCTGAATGTCATTTTCTTTTAGTAGTCTTATATCTATTTACCTGTTTTTATTAATCTAATTTATTGTCTTTATTTATTATCAAAAGTTCTACATTTATAACACTTACAATTTATTTTAATGTCTTTATTTGTACTAATTTATCTCACACTAATAATTACATAATTTATTTATAATACGAGCGTTAAATTTAAAACTCGACGCGATATTATCTTCCGACTAACAAAATTCGCCCCTTCGAAATTCGGAAGCCGACCTTCTCGACTAATATGGAAGGAAAATCCCACGACAGACCGGTCATCCAGCTGAGCGGAGAATAATCTCGAACGCCATACTGTTTTTTTTTTAGACGAGGAGGACCTTTCAGGTATTACCTGGAATTTCTGCCAGCTGGTAAAATCTAGAACATATCAGAATTAAAAAGAATATTTATGAGACATATTTATCGTACCACTATCTTGGGCCTTGATTTTACTATCAGTTATTTTGAGTTGTATGCTGATATTTGCAACCAATAGACTATGATCTGAGAAGTCATCTGAGCCTGGATATGTTTTTGTTAGGTGATAGAATTTCTAAACCTTTTGTTTATGTTGATAAAATCAATTTGGTTTCTTATGATTTTCCCTGGGGTCACGATGCTTTTCCATGTATAAAATTTTCTTGGGTGTAATTTAAAAAGTGTATTTGTTACAACCATATCCATCTCTTGGCAGAATTGGATCAGTCTTTCTCTCTTGTTTCTTATGCCAAGACCATATAGACCCACGACGATTCTCGACTGTACCTTGTTCTATTTTGGCATTGAAATCGCACATGATAATAGTAAGTTCATATTTTCTGTTCAGACTAAAAGCTGACCAAACATCTAATAACAGTTTCAATTTGTTTGTCGATTCTTAAAATTATATGATTCCTACAACAACTTTCTTAAAATTTCTTTACACAATATTAAGACTACGTTGTTTCAGAAACGCCTCGTATAAACTTTCTTCGAATTTTGTTTGAACTCGAACAACACCGGTAGGAACATAATCTGAAATGTAAACCTACTTGACTGATCTTTCAATAGTTTACTAAGTAATCTCAGAGCGTCTTGACGAGGGTTTGTTAATAGACGTCAGCTGTGGTTTTGCTTACAACTGTTTGAATGACAAGCCAAAAGAAGGAATGCATGTAATGTCGACATTCCGAATATTTATACGAGTGTTTGACGGAAACAAACAGAAGTTGAAATATGTGAGGGTTGGTAGGGGAATCGTGCTATGTACATCCATCGCCGCAAAAAAATGTTAGCTCGCTGAAACAATGTATAATTGAACAATTGTATAAAGTGCTCGTCGTTTCTTACATTAATCCATAGTCAAAAAAACCAACAGCACAAACTTTATCGTCGGCTCAGTGACACAAAAATGTATTTTAAAAATGACTACTTTTCAGGAGAGCTTATTTAACCCGTAACTACAGACGTGTAACACTTACTACATACATACAGACGTGACGTCTCTGGGACGTAACTCATTTTTGTTAAGTAAGAGAAAAAACGGTAATGACTTTTAAGCAGTAGATGTCTCAAATGAAGTATGCAGCTATTGTGATTAAATTAATG